GCAGTTTATGGACCCGATACAGTTTCCATTTCCCTCGCACAACGATGGTATCAACGTTTTCGTTCTGGTGTAGAGGTTCTTCTGTGTGTTTGGTGGGATTGGCAGGGAATAATCCACTATGAGCTGCTCCCCTATGGCCAAACGCTCAGTTCGGACTTCCACCGTATAGTCCGGATCTCGCATCAAGTGATTACCACCTGTTTCTGTCCATGGCTAACTCGCTTGGTAGTCTGAGAGTCCCGTAAAATTGGCTCTCCGAGTTTTGTGCCAATAGGGAAGCGAGCTTTTATGAGAGGGGGATTATGAAGTTGGCATCTCGTTGGGAACGCGTCATCGAACAAAACGGCGCATATTTAACATGAATCGCATTATTGTAACCAATTTTATGAACAATTGAAAATTCAATAAAAATATCGCAAGACTTGACAAACTAATATGTGCACACATCATTATCCGAAAATGTAATATGGGAGCGCTTCAATTTTATGAACCGCATTTAATAAACACTGAGGAAATTCAATTACTATATGATGTAAGGGATTTCTTGGAGCATTCTTTTAGTTCTTTTGGAAACCTTTAAAAATAATGTTAAACATCACGATAAATGAAAGCAGTCTATTATGTAAAATAGTTTGATCGTTTGTAACAAATTTTTATACATTAAGAGGAATAAGTGCATCAAAAAGAGGGGATTTTATTCGCAAGCAACGTTTGTCCAATATTAGTTTTAACCATTCGTAGTTTAAGACGAGTAACTCCGAACTTCGTTTGCAAGAAACCACATTGCACTATGCTCCATGGTTCAACTGAAAAACTAGAAAAAGTTAACAATTGCATTACAAAAGAGCAAGCGTTCCTAGCCACAGCTTTGATTAAAGTAAACTCAAAAAAAGGTGGATATGAAAACCTAAGAGCGTTAATAGATAATGGGTCGCAGTGCACCATGATTTCATTCCTTCAAAAAAATAAAATAAAAATAAAATATTAGACGTTGATAGGTCCAAATGGATAAAATCGCGTTGGCAGACCCTAACTTTAATAAACCAAGAAGGGAAGATATTATTATAGGGGAAGATTTGTATCACACATCATTATCCCAAAATTTAATAAAGAAGCGCTTCAACTTTATGAAACGCTTGTAAAAAAACTAAGGGAATTGATGTAATGGATTTCTTGGAACAACGTTTTAGTTCTCATATATCGTCACAAAATGAAGAAAGGAAACCCTTTAAAAGAGGGGTAAATACCAAGTTAAGTAAAAGCTGCCTATTATGTAAAATAGTTGAACATTTTGTAACTAATTTATTCGCAAAAAACTTTTGTGCAATAGGTGTTTTAAGCATTCGTCGTCCACGAGGTGTAACTCCGAAAATGTATGTTCAGTTTTCAAAAACCCCATCACACTATGCTTCACGTCCCAACTGAATAACGGGAAATGGAAGAGAGAGTAAAGAGTGCGTTACAAAAGAGCAAGCTTTTCTAGCCACAGCTTGGATTAAAGTAAATTCAATAAAATGTGGCTAAAACCCAAGAGCGTTAATAGATAGTGGGTCGCAGTGCACACACTTGTACTTCAAAATATAAAGTTAATTTAAACATAAAAATGCGCAATATAAAAAAAGATCTTCTGAACATTGAAGCAACCATTCTTCCAAAACTTATGAAGTCTTGAAAATTTAGAAAGATTTTGGGAGATGGAAAATGTAAACAATGATATTGAGTGAGGCCTTATAACTTAAATTTCTTCATAAGTAGCGAAATAATGTTCCGATATAAAAAATTGGCAAATCAATAGATATTAACAGAAATAAGGTCAAAAGAAGGCATTCATAATAATACTATAGGCGCCACAGTTTTCTGCGGCTTGTGGCATCTCTAAAACACAACTTTCTAGCTCTTATAGTTCCCGATAATTTTGCATTTTTGGTTTTTTGGTTTTCCGGGTTTTCTGGGCGTTAGAGTGGGCGCGGCTTGAGCGAAAAAAACAACTCGCATTGAGAGCATCATAAAAACCTACATGAGATATCAGCTTTTCTAGAAAATGCGAGAACCTCTTTTGAACTTGGTGGGCCAATGGGTGGCCGGATAATAGTACCACCATAAGATGGGCTGGCATCTTAAGATTATGCACACTTAATTGTAACTTTCTAGCTTTAACAGTGCCTGAGATTTCAGCGATTTTAGTTTTCCGTGCTTTGTAGCCGTTAGAGTGGTCGTGACAGGATGCTGAAAAGAGCTTGCTACGCGTAGAGCCCTCAAGAAACTTCGGCTTAATTTCAACTTTGTATCTCTTATACTTCCCGAAATCTTCGCGTTTATACAGACAGACGGACATGGCTCAATCGTCTTCGCTATTGATACTGATAATAATAAGTTTCAACTTAAGAAAATGGATTTTCAATGCCTCAGAAATAGTAGAAAATTACCAGGCTTGTAAATAATACAATTTACCACGTTCCGTATTAAAAATACGTATTTAATCATAAACGACGAAAATTCGTGGATTATTAGGAAAATTGATTCAAAATTTGGAAAATTGAGTAAAGTTGACAGCTCTAGCTCTTAACAGCTCTAGGAGTGATCTCTAGAAATTAATCTGGCCCTTTTTTAAACAGTTAGATTTGAAATTTTGTTTATTTTTTGAAGGTTTTAATGTGTGATTTACGTAAGAATTTATGTAGTTTGTGACATTTATTTAATTTTTATATATATAAATGGATACTGCGGGTGGACACCCAAGGAGGGTTACTAAAAATGAAAAAAAATGTTTCATTTGTAGGTGCTTACAGTAAGACTGGCAAACTTATTACCGTTTATTGCAGATGCGTACAGGAATACAGATTATAAGTCAATCGCACTGCGAGTAGCAGGTAGGTGTCTTAATGATAACAATAAAAATGTTAAAATTATTCGGACTTTCTCATGGGGCTATATTCATGTAGGTACCTGTTCAAGTTACAGATTGATTTGTATCTGTGTAGATTTTTATTAGTACCTGTCATTCAATTTTACTCGTTATGTTGGCTATTTTTATGGTGCCACAGGTTGCGGTTTTTACAGTGTCTAAAACGGAATGTTTTTTATTATATTATATTATTATGATTATTTTGGGTTTTTTGGTATTATATTTTATTGCATGCGAGGTCTCATTCCAAATTTTAAACACAATGCAAATGAGTATTAAAGATACTTTAAAGGTGACATGTGCAAGCAACCAGCTCAAAGTTTAAAAATTGTTGTGAGTATTTAGAATAAAATTTCAAGTTTGGGTGAGTTTTTGTATGACTCTTTTTATAAAAATACGAAACAATACAAAATTAACATTTGTTTTTTTCAAAACAGTTTCTATTTTCATTGCAATTTTAATTTTCATAAAGAAGTTTTTCTTAAAATTCATTTTGTTGTGCTTTTAATTGTGCGATAAAAACAAAAAACAATTTTATTGAATATTTTGAGTACATTTCTTTATAGAACGTCTACTTTGCATTATAAAATTTTAACAGTTTTTCTTTTATTGGAATTCAACTTTTATAAAGATTTCTCAACTACCAACAAAGCGCAGAGACAATCATTGCAAGTGTGTGATGTGACACTACATGAGCTCTATGCAGCCTGGAGCGAGATGGCCAACCTTCTCATTGAAAGCAAGCCGACCGAAGCGAGGCGAGCGAGTTAGTACTCCATAAAAATGATAATTAACATTTTTTAAGAACCCTTAGAGATTTTACGCCACTATAAAATAATTAAGCTTCTATATTCTATATTCTTGATCAGGATCAATAGCGAAGTCGATTGAGCCAGGTCCGTCTGTCCGTCCGTCCGACCGTCCGTCTGTATGTATAAACGCTGAGATCTCAGGAACTATAGCAGATACAAAGTTGAGATTAAGCATGAAGATTCTTGAGGTCCCAGGACATCATCCTTCCACGCTCACTCTAACCCCCAAAAATCACGAAAAACTAAAACCGGTATGTACCAGTATGTATAAACTTTGGATGCCAGCGCATCTTGATACTATTATAAGGCCACACCAACCAAGCTCAAAAGTTAGTTTTCGCATTTTCAAGAAAACCTGATATCTCGGTAACTATAAGCGATAGAAAGGATTAAGCATGTAGGTTTTTATGACGCCCCAAATGCGAATTGTTTTTTTCCATCTAGCCACGCCCAAAACCCGAAAAACCAAAAATTCAAAAAATTCGAGAACTAAAAGAGCTAGAAAGTTAGGCGAAGGAATATGTATTTTAAAGATGCCACTGCAACTGTGGCGTCTATAATAATATTATGAATGCCTTTGCTTGACCTTGCATAACTTATTTCTGCTAAATCAATCGATTTACTAAAGAAAATCGGAACAATATTTCGCTACTTATGAGGAAATTTAGGTTATAAGGCCTCACATGGGCAGTGACGTCACAATCAGTTACTCGACATGCTTTCTCCGACAATAGGTGGCGCTTGGGGAATTTCCACTATCAAAATGAATATTTTGAAATTATGTAAAACAGTAACGGATATCTTATAGTCGCGGCACTCGACTATAGCGTTTCCTCTTGCTTATTATTGCTAACCGAGTGGCTAGGCCAGAATCTAAAAGGAGGCCATCATCATCACCATCATCATATTTAATCGATTGAAATCATTAGAAAGGTGCGGAGGACACCTACAGAATCCTCTCAGCCGACCGACTACCGACTGATGTGGAAATGTCACGCGGAAATATTCATATTAAATTCATATGTATATTTTGGTATTTATTTATATTTTTACTGAAAAATTTAAAAAAATGTTCAATCATGTTTTGAATGCTACGTAGCACACGCTTAAATGATTATTTCCAACAGAAACCCAATTTAGAAGTTATGTATGTACATACACCTATGTACATACATACTCGTACATGTATAAGGAGACAATAATCAAAGGATTATAATGTACGGCCATAAAGTATGTTAAGAACCTCCTTACAAATTGAAAATAAAGTATTTTTATTGATTTACCATTATTTATCATTCTCCATTGTGTGAAAATCATTTCTTGAAAGTCGAAAATTTCTGAAAGCTTCAGCAAATAATTTCTCTGCCTAAGCATTGATTTGTTAATGTTTTAAGCTTATTAATTTAGCATATTCTGTTTAACAGCTGCACATTTAAAACATAAGTTGATAAAAAGGGCCATTGAAATGTGTTTACAGTTTTGACACACAACACTCTACATACAATGTACATATTTATGTACATATATCTATCTTTCATATGATTTATGTATGTATACATTTTTATTTCCGTTACATATTTCTCAAGATATTAAAGAATGAGCTTAAAACTCATAGGTGTACGAATAAATTATGTGCTGACTGTAAATGCGGACCGCTGTCCGAGGCAGCAGAGAACAGTCATCTTTTATGTCCACCGCGAACTTTCAAAGTATAAAAACATACATATGTATATTATATGTAGAGAGTGACTAGTGTAATCGACTTAATAGATTAAAGTTATCAGTAAATAAGCACATTTGTATGTATATATATGTACATATGTATATAGGTGTACATATACACTAAAATGGTATTCATTAAACGGAGTACAGATTTACACATCTATAACTTAAACCAGTACAAATTATGGTTGAACTAATTTTACACAAAAAATAAATTCATTTTCACATGGCAAAAAGAAAATGTTCATTCAGTGTACACAATATGCACATACATACATATATAAAATTAGTTTTAAAGCCTAATTAACTTCATTAGAATAATAAGCGTATTGTTACTTTTATTCACATCATTAAATCATCCACATCATTCACAAATATTTGTATTTATTAATTCGTAGTTTATCTAAACAATGGTCGTTTATTACGATTCAAACACCAAAAGCGCACGCTCCATACAATATTCACACGCTGACTGAAGAAACACTATACATATAACGGGTAAGCTTTAAATAAAAGGTAAATTGAATGAAACTTGATGAGCTTTAAAGCTTACTCTTAAGAGATTAAAATTGTTAAGAAAGAGTGCGCCTTTCAAGGACTAAATTGCAATGATGTAATCACTTATCAATTGGTTTAGCTGCCTCTTTAAAAAGAAATCAAGACAACCATTTTTACTTTTACATTTATACTAGATTCGTAGAAAAGTATGTAACAGGTAGAAGGAAACGTTTTCGACCCTATAAAGTATATATAAGTTAACAAGTTAACATAAACCAGCAAAAGTCAATGGAGCAGCCGCTGACTTTTGTTGTTATTTAGCTTCGGCCGAAACTGCTGATCCAGCTTTTAGCCCGGATGCTCGTGCACAGACGGCAAGCACTACATATTTGCGTGGCCGCTGTGAGTCTTTTGTTAGCTTTAAGTTTCTTTTCAATTCAGTTTATACCAAAGCCGTGAATAAAGAGCACCAGCTCTGATAATATTTAACTCCGGCTACCGCCCTTAAAGATCTTATTATTTCACACTGACTGAGTCTCTAGGCCAACAGGTAAAGAAGGGCAGTCACCCTTCCACCCTTCTTCCTAATTTATCGACGGATGACAACAGCCAACCGGCTACCTTCACGGAGACGGCTGCGAGGGAACCTCTACGGAGTAAAATACTAATTGGCGCCCAGCTCGCGGAAACCCACCCGCATAAATTCGGACCTAAGAGGGAAACTAGGATAGGAAAACCATTTCACAAAAAATGTAAGTGGACTCCTCCGGCTATTTAACTTTTAGTCTGCAAAAATTCCCAGTCTTTTACGTGTCCCAAGTTTTTATCTGCAAATATTTTTTGCGACAAATACGAAAAATATTAATCGCCGTGTTTAAAAAAATAAAAAGTAATAAATAAAAAATACACTGCAAGTATAACGTACTAACCAACAAATAGAAAATCAAACACAATTAGTGGAAATCAGCCTTTTAACTTTGAATTTGATTTATTGTGGTTGTTTTTTTTCTGTGTCTTTTTGTTCGTGCCACGCAGTAATACGAAAAGGCCGCCTGACTTTGTCTTTGTTTTTGCTGCATTCTTTTCTTTTGGGAACTGCTTATGCAAACGTTTAGTTGTAAGAGTGCTCTCAGTCGCTCTCATGAACGACGCCTTCCGTCAGTATAGGAACAAAAAAGTTTTTTCTAGCGACTCCGAGTCCGGGAGCGAAGAGAGCGGTCACAGTCACAGCCTTACAGTAAAACGCAAGCCCCTCTGCCCTTCAGTACAAATGGATCCCGACTAGAGCAGGCCGCACAAAATCAGCAAAGAGAGCTGGAGCTGCGGCAGACGATCGAGCTGCTCGCTGCTCAAGTGGCTGAAGTTAGGGTACAACCGAAGCCAGCCCAAACCTTAGAAATTACAACATATGAAGCTATAGAGATTAATGACAATGTTCGATGTGACGAGCCATTGGATGCCGTCAAGTGCCTGCCAGAATTTTCAGGGACACAAGATTCATACGTTTCATGGAGACAAGCGGCCGTCGCCGCTTATCATATTTTTAGACGATATAATGGTAGCTCACGCCACTACCAGGCAGTTATCATTATCAGAAGCAAGGTCAGGGGCCCTGCCGATGCGGTGATGTCCTCGTTTGGCACAGTGCTGAATTTTGACGCGATAATAAGTCGCCTTGATTTCACGTACAGTGACAAACGACCGATGCACGTCATCGAACAGGAGTTAGGAACTTTAAGGCAAGGGGGCCTAACTCTGCTAAACTATTATGACGAAGTAGAGAAAAAACTCACTTTGTTAACAAATAAGGTGCATATGTCACATGATTCGGGTATGGCAAAAGTTCTGTGTGACAAATTCAGGGAAGACGCTCTGAGAGTATTCATATCAGGACTTAGGCGAAATCTCACAGACGTCCTCTTTGCGGCAAAACCTAAAGATTTGTCGACGGCCCTGCCCCTAGCACAGGAGGTTGGGTCCAACCATGAAAGGTACACCTTCGCGGCAACCTTTGCAAAAAGCCAAGAAGATCGCGAAATAAGCGAAAAAATACAAAATCGGCAACAGGTAAAAAACCATCAGCCGGCGGACTCTCAAATAGATGGCGGCAAAAACCCGCACTTTTCTAGACAGACTAGGGCGCAAATCCATTCCGAGCAGCGCAATAATAACTTCCAAAACAGAAGTTACAGTTCAGAACCTATGGACATTGATCCTTCACTTTCAAAAATAATTCCACCCGTTCAAACGCAAGCCAACCAAAATCGGAGACCTGCCACGTCCGACCGAACCAAAGCAAAGCAACAGCAAAGGGTAAATCACGTCACCCAGGGTGTAGGAAATGAACCAGGGTCATACGCCAGCACAGCTTCCAAGGCGGCGGAGAAAATCGATGATGACATCATCACAGAATATGACTCTGATGTCATTAATTTTTTAGGGGGAAGATCCCTGCTGCCCGTCATCAGACGAAGAGTAGCGGGGGCCGAAATGAGGTTTCTTATCGACACGGGCGCGTCAAAAAATTTCATCCGACCTCACAAAGGGTTGAAAGGCGTTCGCCCTGTAGAATCCCCATTCCCAATACATTCAATCCATGGCACTACCAAAGTTATTAAGAAATGCTTCGTATCAATGTTTAATTTAAAGGCTACGTTCTTTATACTACCCGACTTGTCTTCCATCGAAGGAATAATCGGCCTTGACCTGTTAAAACAGGCATCACTCTGCCTATCTTCCGGTCACCTAAAATGGGGCACCGAGGTAGAGCAGATCGATTTCCACAAGTGCACTGACGTCAATTTCACCAGCGTGGATTTTTCAGATGCACCGCGTTTTTAGAGATGCTAAGGACCCGGAGAAAGGCCTTTGCAGACCCTAACGAGGCTTTACCTTACAACACTTCGGTGGTAGCTACCATCAGAACAGTTAACGAGGAGCCCATATACGCAAAATTGTACCCGTACCCCATGGGAGCAGCGGATTTTGTCAACAACGAAATTCAGGATCTGCTAAGAAATGGAATAATTCAAAAGTCGGCATCCCCCTACAACAACCCAATATGGGTGGTAGACAAAAAAGGGATCGAACGCGGAAACGAAAGCGGAAATAAGAAAATGCGGCTAGTCATCGACTTTCGCAAATTAAATAAAAGGCCCGTGTCCGATAGGTACCCCATGCCAAATATTTCAATGATATTGGGGAATCTCGGCAAAGCGAGGTATTTCTCAACGGTGTACCTTAAGACTGGCTATCACCAGATTACGCTCGCGGAACGAGACAGAGAAAAATCCTCGTTCTCAGTAAATGGGGGTAAATATGAGTTTAAAAGGCTTCCGTTTGGTCTCAAAAATGCAGCCAGCATTTTTCAGAGGACCATAGATGACATCCTACGAGCAAATAGGTAAATTTTGCTATGTTTACGTTGACGACGTAATAATATTCTCGGAGGACGAAAACTCTCACGTTAAACACGTAGATTGGGTTCTAAAGAGCCTGTACGAGGCCAACATGAGAGTGTCGGTAGAAAAACCGAGCTTTTTAAAGAAAAGTGTCAGCTTTCTTGGGCTTATAGTCACTTGTAATGGTGCTACGACTGACCCAGAGAAAGTAAAGGCCATCAAGAAATTTCCGGAGCCCAAGAATGTATTCGAGGTACGGTCATTTTTGGGCCTGGCTAGCTACTACCGATGCTTTATTAGGGATTTTGCGGCAATAGCAAGACCTATCTCGGAAATCTTAAAAGGGGAAAACGGAACAGTTAGTAGACACAGGTCACGAAACATTCCGGTACAGTTCTCTGAAGCGCAAAAACAAGTGTTTCAGAAGCTTCGAAATATCTTGGCGTCTGACGATGTCATGCTGAGATACCCCGATTATAAAAAGGCCTATGGCATTTGTGCAGTGCTGTCCCAAGAGGGACGTCCGATTACAATGACCTCAAGGACATTGAAGGACAGAGAGGTTAACTATGCTACCAACGAAAGGGAGCTATTAGCCATAATTTGGGCACTGGCCAAACTAAGGCATTATTTATACGCGGTCAAAGGTATAAACATCTTCACCGACCATCAGCCATTAACCTTTGGAGTATCGGAATACAATCCGAATGCAAAGATTAAAAGATGGAAAGCGCGCATTGACGAATCCGCAGCCCGAATATTTTACAAACCCGTTAAGGAAAATCTAGTTGCCGACGCACTCTCGCGACAACAACTTAATGTCATGGAGGAGCAAGAAGCTGAGTCGTGCGCGGCCACTATACACAGCGAACTCTCCCTGACACACACAATCGAGACGACGGAAAAGCCTTTAAATTGCTTCCAAAACCAAATAATCTTAAAGGAGGCGCGCTTCCAGTCAAAACGCAGCTTCGTAATTTTTGGTAACAAGAATTGGCATGCGATTAATTTTTCCTGCATAGAGAGTTTACTTGATGAGCTCGCAGATGTAATCGTTCCTAAAGGCGTAAACGCTATCTATTGCGACTTGCACACGTTGGCAATGGTACAGGACGAACTGGTTCGGCAGTTTCCGGCCACAAAATTTTGGCATTGCAAAAATCGTGTAACACACATTTTTGTAGTCAGCGAAAGACGGGAAATCCTCACCGTCGAACACAACAGGGCCCACAGGTCATCCCAGGAAAATGTAAAGCAGGTACTCTCCGAGTACTACTTTCCAAAAATGGCCAAATTAGCTACCGAAATCGTAGCGAATTGCAGGACTTGCGAGAGAGCCAAGTACGACAGGCACCCAAAGAAACAGGAGCTCGGCGAGACACCGATCCTCTCTCATGTAGGAGAAATGTTACATATTGACATTTTCTCTACAGATAAAAAATACTTCCTTACTTGCATCGACAAGTTTTCGAAGTTTGCCGTCGTGCAACATGTCCACTCGTCGCCGCTTATCATATTTTTAGACGATATAATGGTAGCTCACGCCACTACCAGGCAGTTATCATTATCAGA